ATCACTTTGATATTTAAAAAATATTTTTCTTCATCAAAAAGAACACATGAAAAATTGAAATGAGCTTTTTTTAGAAACACATGGTTAAATCTTCAAACTGATTCATCTTCCTAGCTAGAAACTCTCACCTATTCTGGGAAAAACTCCACATTAAATTATTTTGTTTATGATTTTCCAGGAAGACAAATCTAGAGTTTTCAACCAGCTGCATTCCAAATGTTAGTGGTGGTCTGTAATTTTTTCTTCTGTCTGAAAGAAATGACTTTGCAAGAGTAGAAGCCACAATTACTTGTATGAGAGGAGAAATTTTCAGAAAAATTCTGCAACCTGATTAATCAACTAAAGTCATAAAAAATTTGACACTGGGACTGTTCAGGCGAGAGGAAAGATGAAGGTTTTAGTATTAAGTGGGATTAATGAGCTGTCACTGCTGGATGGGATGGATCCTTGATAATGTAAAGTATTTAAAGCAAGTCTGGAAGCTCCTCTTAAAGGCCTTGAGCAGTGCTTATAGACCTGGTGCTCAGCTCATGGAGTCACATTCCCTGACAGCTCTCCTGCCTTGGCTCAGGCACCTTCTGGATTCCTCTGCTTCTTCTACACCCCCGAGAGAGAGGAGGAGGAAAAAAACCTTTCCCAGATAAGAGTAGTGCAAGGGACACTGATGTGAACAGATGTTAATGCTGCAAGTGGAGGGGCCCTCCAGGAGAGCTGAGAGAGACTTTGCACAAGGGATGGAGGGACAGGACACAGGGAATGGCTTCCCAGTGCCAGAGGGCAGGGATGGATGGGATATTGGGAAGGAATTGTTCCTTGTGAGGGTGGGGAGGCCCTGGCACAGGGTGCCCAGAGAAGCTGTGGCTGTGCCTGGATCCCTGGAAGTGTCCAAAGCCAGGGTGGAGCAAGCTGGGATAGTAGAAGGTGTCTCTGGCCATGGCAGGGGATGGAATGAGAGGGTCTTTAATGCCCCTTCCAACCCAAACCATTACATTAGGTTTTGGCTAAGGGGTCACACAGCTTCCTCTGTGTGAATTCCAACAACAGAGGTTTGATAGGTTTGAGAAGTCCAGGACTTCCCTGCCTGGTACACTTTAATCTTCTTGAGAATTCATTTCAGACTCTGATGGGAAATTGAAAAACGGGGACCAGCGCCCTGGCACAGCCCTGAGTTTGTAGAAAAGCCTCCATGAGGGGCTCAGTCTTTCCCATGGATGGACTCTACACATTTTCCTGTAGAGCTGTGACCTCTTATACTCAATGCAAACCCACAAAGAGGTCACCTTGGTCCTCTGGGTCAAGGATCCCACAGCAATGGCCTCTGGACCCTCAAAGATGCGTCCACAGCCGGAAAGCAGTGCTGTACAAAAGAGGACTGTAACAGCTCCTACACTGATATTACATTTAGAAGATTCCTGTTAAGGATCTGAGATGTAAACCTTGCTGAAATTACTCTTGCAGGATCCCCAAATCCCTGCCCTTGTAATAGAAGCCCTTTAGGACCCTGATTTCTCTGCATGTAATTTGTTTCTACAAAAGAATCCACTTGGTGCTGTGAGTGAGGAAGGTGCACAGGCTGTGTAAGTAATCACAGAATCACAGTCACTAAGGTTGCAAAAGACCAACCAAGATTATCAGGTCCAATCTTCAATAATTCCAGTCCATGCAGGAGTGAGATTTCTCACTGATTTTGTACCTAAATCCAACTGATTTTTTTTGTTGTTGTTTTTGTACGTGTCTTTTTTTGCGAGTAGGAACTGAGAGACAAAACAGGAAGGCTCTTACAGGTTTTACTGTTCTTTTATTTATTCTTAGAGGAATTATGAGCAAACAAGCAATTTCCCATTACTTGTCATCCACATGTTTATCTGTCCATATTTCATGCTCAAATCTCAGTGATCCAGCTGTTGAGCATCATTCTGAGATGTGACTTTGACATCTGCCATGAACTTGAAAATTTTGGGCTTGGGGCTCTCCAGACTTTCCTGTTAATATTTCCCTGAAAAAGCTGTCACGGTGTTATCTCTGTCCTGAGTATGGGACTATCCACCAGGTGAGAAGAGACAGATCCACACAAATCCTTCAGAGCCAGCATCATCTTCACTCCAGTCCCATGGATTTCCCTGGAGCTGCCAAAAGCAAGATTCCAAAGCGTTTTAGTGAGTGGATCAGGAAAGTTTTCCAGGTCTCTGCAGGCCTTTATTTAAGAGAGGAATATACTCTGGATTGCATTTCCAGTTGTACTGGTGTGATTTTGGAGCGGAGTCAGATTGTTACATGGCCACGAGGAAAAGAGGGATTGGACAAACTGTGGCTAAAGCCCCAGTGGATTTGAGAGCCTCCTCCAGCAGCTTAGGTGGCTTTTCTTTCTATCCTTAGCAACACAGCCCTGCTTAACCCTCCAAGCTGTGGTCAGTCATTTTGAGGCCAGGTTGATTGACAGCAGGTAACCTGTTAACACTTTTTTCCCTGCCTTTTCCAGTGTGTTTGATCCTGTAGGTGGCTGGCTGGATGTGTTGCTTTCCTAAATTATTATTATTTGGTTGATTTTATTTTTAACCCCTTGGATATTCTGTAAGAAAAAGCCATCTTGAGCCAGAGGGATGAAGTACTTCAGTGTAAGTACAAAAATATTCATTTAGGCTTTTCTTATTTCTCTAAAAAGGTGTATTTGGGCAAGGTGAGCATTTTCCTTTGCAGATTAACAGTAGAATTTCCGTTCAACTCTGACCCTTCAAATGGATAATATTAAACTTTTCTGTATGGAAACTGCTTATATTTACTTTTTTGAGGGGGAATTATGGCTTTGTAAGAGCAGGTCTGACAGACCCTCAAGGCTGAGGTGGGTAATCAGCTCTATCACCCAAAACTCAAGGAATAATATTCTTTTAAATTAGTCATCCCATAACAATCCAACCAAATTATTCCCCAAGAAAAGAAGTAGTATTGGGAAAGCGCGTTATGACTCGTCCTGTATTTAATTTTTTTCCTGTACTTCTTACAATATGATTTAAAAACCTGAAAAATGTTCAATAAATCCTTGGGAAGCAGTTTAGATTTCTGGTGGGTTTGTTTGGAAATGATGCTGTCACTGTTTGAAAGCTCCAGTGTGGGGCTTGTGGAGAAAAAGTTGAACCCACCTTTCTGGAAGCTGTTGGAAAATAGAGAAATGAGATATTTCTTCCCTGGAAAAGATGAGTTGGAGTAATGGATTGACCTTTAACTGGGAAATAAATAAGTGAATAATTGCTCAGTGAAACGTGTATGTGGAAAGAATAAATCATACTGAAATCTTTGGGGTGTGCCTGGATGTACAAAAGGAGGGATTTGTCACAATAATGGTTTTTCAAATGATGCCTAATGTCTTTTCTCACCTAGCTGAGCTCAAACTTCCATTTATTGCAGCATTTTCTGTAGTACAACGTGCACAGATATTTCACTTGAGGGTACTGTGGTAAGAATATAGTGGTTTTGTTCTAAAATGTAGAGAAATTCAGCATTTACAGCTTTTTGAATGCTGCAGCAGAGACAAAATTCCCATTAATGGCAGTGGTCACCAAACTGATTCTCCAAAGAATAAATTGTTATTATCACAATTATTCAAACTAGAACTTCATTCAGCTGCTGCAGGAGAGGTAACCAGGAGCAAACTGAAAGCACCATTTCATTATAAATACATTTACTGGTTTCTAATTAATTCGTGAGCACTAAAAAAAAATTCCTTTCTTTTAAGATATTTTTTGAAAGTTACCATAGAAAACTGATGCCAACTAAGAACAGAATTTGGAAAATAAATTGTACGTAGGTGTTTGTGGCCAGAACCCCCTTCTGCAAGTTAAAATTCTGCTGATTCCTTACTAACAATTTAAATTATTTCCTATCTGAGAGCAGATAAATTACCTGAAGATGATATATCTAAGTGCCATCTACTCCATTGAAGTCTGAGTAATTCGCTCAGAGCAAACTGGGGAATCACTGCTCATGCTCATGAAAAAAATGTATTGTGCTCATTACAGCCAATATTTTAGCAGCTGGAAAAATATTGTTAATTCTTTTATTTTTTCATGTGAAAATCAAAGTGTCTTCTCTTTTGGGCATAATAGGTCATTCCATGGGAGGTCTTAATTTTTTAGCTACTGGCTTCCATGACAGTGGATTTGACAAGGGCAAGTCTTGTCTTCATCAGGACAATGACATCAAAACCATTTTTGTTCCAAATGTGGCATGCAACCACCAGACCGAAACACCAAAATCAGTTTATCTTTTAAAGCGAAGGACACCAACAAAAACTGGGCAGATGATCCCAACCAATCTCCATTTTTCCCACTCTTTAGCAGAACCAAGTTTTGTAGCTCTATTTTGTATCTCGTGCTATTTGTTATTTGTTTGCATAACTGCCTGAAGTTTTTCATCCAGAACTCAGCACATAATGGTATGGCTTGTTCTAAAACCAGACTTCTCAGGACTGACTGTGTGCTACAAAGTGTAATCACAACTTGAAGAAATTCTGCTTTGTTTTGGCTTTTGTTATGCTCCAGTCCACGGGGTTAAGGGGTTACATGAGAATCTCAGTGCTGTGCTTGTAAAAATAAAGCTGAAGTAATCACTGGCTCTGATAATCTCAGAAAAAACCTCAAAAATATAAGCAAGGAAGACACAAAACTCCAAAGGACAACAATGCACTTTTTGTGGGTTTTGCTTGGGGTCTGACTCATGCTTTTTGTGCCTCGGGGGTGACTGACAGTGACTGGATTCCCACTGGAATCTGCAGGCCCAGGAAGGTTTGACTGTGAGGAGCAGGGATATGGACGCTCTCCTCGCTGTGCTTCCCTGTATCTGCCTGATCCATTAATTCCTAAGGGTTGTTGGTACAATCTGCTCAGGATGGAGCTGTTGTGAGGAGCACAAACCTTGCTCCCACACCAGTCAGGCTCTGATCCTTCCTGACTCAAACTAACCACTCTGTTTTTCCTTCTCTTTGTAGTTATCTTTAAGCAAGAGGGATGACTCAGGTGCCTGCTGACTACCTGTCAACCACCAGCTCCTACAACTATGAGCCACCCCTCCCCTCCGTGGCTCGGGCCAGCACCCTCACCAAGGTCCCTCCAGCCAAAAAAATAACCTTCTTCAAGAGTGGAGACCCGCAGTTTGCAGGAGTCAAGATGGCCATCAACCAGCGGAGCTTCAAGAGCTTCAACGCGCTCATGGATGACCTCTCCCATCGGGTCCCGCTGCCGTTCGGGGTCCGGACCATCACCACCCCACGAGGAATACACTGCATCAGTGAGCTGGACCAGCTGGAGGACGGAGGCTGCTACCTGTGCTCCGACAAGAAGTACGTGAAGCCCATCAGCATCACCTCTGGGGGACACAGGCCGGCCCCGCCACGGAACAGTCGCCCCTCCAGCACCATGAGGAGAGCGGCCCAGGAGGGCAAGCTGGAAGATTATTCCACACCTTTCACTCACCATGGTCCCAGAATACCCAAGAAAATCACTCTGGTTAAGAACGGGGAAAGTGGATTTCGGCGCTCCATCATCCTGAACCGCAGAAATGCCCGGAGTTTCAAAACGCTCCTGGATGAGATCACAGAGATCCTGCAGTTCCCAGTGAAGAAGCTCTACACTGTTGATGGGAAGAAGGTAAATATCTCTGGTGCTTCTCAATTGTTCAAACAGGAGTCATCACCTTCCTTGTGATGCAAATCCTTTAGCTCATAGCTCCAAAAGTTTATCCACATTACCTTAATCCTCCCGGCTTTGTTACATTAATTGCTTCCCCATTCATTTCACAATAGTTTGATGCAGAAGAATCATGTTCAGCCACTCAAGAACTTCATGCCAAATATTGTTTGGGGTTAGTAGGAGGTTTAAAGTTTTTGTAGTCAGATATAAAACCTCTTCTAGTTACAGCGTTTCTCACCTTTTTTTGGGGAGGCATGTCATGACAGAGGTTCAGCTTCTCCATACCTGAACACTGGGTATGGAAATTCAACAGAATAAGGGGACCTTTGGTTGCCCACAGAACAGGGTCCTGCTCATCATGTGGGATTCTCAACAGAGAAAAGATGAGATAACTAATGATGATGATATGATAACCAATTAATGCATAAAAAATTAAGGTTTGAGTGGGATCAAGAAACACTTTTTTATCGATGAATTAGTGAATCTGCTGTGGGGGGAATTCTTATAATAAATTCAGGGCATGGTAATCCCTTAATTCTTCTGAACCCAAATGAATTTCCGGGCAAACCTGAGATTTTCCTGACTTCTTCTCCATCTCTCTTTAGCTAATTAAGCCTTTACCTCCAGTTTTTTGAAAGAATCCCACGGGTATCCTGACTTGTCTCTGTCCCTGCAGTGAATGGAGATTTCCCAGCTCCTTTGCCACTTTTCCCACCTTTACAGGGCTGAGTGCCAGCTCCTCAGCGGCAAAAACACAACCACTTGTGGTGTCACTTTCTGAGCCAGGTGACTGAAATGACCTGCCTTCAAACGACCCATTATCCAGGAGGGGAAAAAATGCAGGAATATTTTGCAATAAACTCATTTTTACCTGGCACAAGGAGAGGAATGTGCAGTAGGAAGGAGAGAGGGAGGGGATAATTTAGGCCATCCTTCCTGTTGGAAGCACCTTGTCTTATCACAGAGCTTTCTGCTATCCCCACCAGTCTGGAAAGAGCTTCCAACCAAACCAAATCCTGCTGCCAAGATATTTTATAATCTATGGATAGCTAACTTATTTTGCCACTGATTTCTCCAGTTTTCAAGACTTGGACTCCTGCTCAGTCCAGACCAACATAATAATCTTGTGAACTGATAGCAACTTTCTCTTTAATTTTTGAGAATTTTCACTGATTTCTCTGAAGAAAAGTTTTGCCTTCTAGTTCTTAGTGCAGTCTTAATGTTCCCCTTGTAATTCCTAAATGAATTCCCCACAATTTTCCTTCTAGTCTTTATCAGCACCAATATTTTAGGTGGGATATGAGCTAAATATGCACTCTGTAAACACAGATCTTCAACTCAATGATCTTGGAGGTCTTTTCCAACCTTTCCATGTTTTCCATCAGCAGAAATATGGATGTGGGTCAAACACTATCACTTAATCCCTCCATGGTCCCTTCAGATTCTATATTTTTAATATGAAAATTTTCATTACTGTTTTGTCAATAAATAGTTGATTTTCATACCTTAATAATTCTATTTACATTCCTTTAATTCCTGTGTATAATTATCACAGTGATAGGTAATGAGGGCTCCAACCTCAGCAACATCATCATCTTCCACATAATTAGGAGATATGTGATTATTAATACCTCTCCTGGGAATCTTTTACAGTGAGTTTTTGACCATTATTAATTTTAGTAACTTACCTCCAGCTTTCAAACTGTTCACCACTGTTCATTTAACAAACATTCCTATTAGGGCTTCCTGTTACTCTGGGCTTGGGTGCAAAGCATTTACACCACAAAAAATTTCACTCTGTCTTGGATTTTCCAATCTTTTCCTTTCACATGGATTCTCTAAACCATCTCTGTTCTTCTCCTTCTGAGTTTTTTTGTCATAGCTCAGCTTCAAGACCTCTGCTTTTGATACACAGCTGGCTGTATCTGAGTTTTCAGATATAATTGTTTCACTGAAGAGTGAAAATTGTGAATTCAATGCACAATTTTGAGCTTTTCTGAAATAATCTCCTTCCACTGGTGCTGGGATTCAATTTTACCTGTGCATCTTATCTTCATACTTGAATTTGAATTTTCAGTTAAAGACAATAGGAAGAAGCTTCCATTCTTCCATGATCATTCAAAGGTATCTGGATGTTTCGTGTTTCTTGGGTAATTCATTTTTTCTTACATTATTCTCTTTGAAGAATAATTTAAATTCTCTTTAAATAATTTTATATATCTTTTATCCCAATTATCTATGTAATTTTTTCCCCCATGACTTAAGACAGAGATCTTTCTGGGATAGATGGCTGGGATTGAGTGGAACAGTAACTTTTGATATCTATTCCCATATTTTGACAGGTTAGCAGAATAATTTGTAAGCAATGCATCTGGACTACTGATGGATTGACTTCATATTTGTCTGGCTCAGAATAACAAAATTTACATCATTTAACAGCAGGTTCACAATGTCTCTTTTTCAGCCAGTTTTTCCTAGAATTCTTGAAAACCAAACAAAAAAGAAAAAAAATAGAAAAAAAAAGGGGAAAAATCCATCCTACAGGTCAATCAATCTTCCATCAATGGAAGTTATGTTCGCAGACCTCAGAGTGTTTGCTCTCCAATCTCCTTTTGCTTCTTCTACTACTGTAATTCCAGATCTAAACTTAAATCCTAAAATGAGTTAAATCACCTCTGTCCCAGTGGCTCTGTTTTGATCTGCTTCATTTTCATATTCTTACCATTTTAATGAGTAAATTCAGGACACTTTGAAATTACAAATCTTTATGTGGGTATAGACTTATACACACATGGAACAGGTTTGTTTTGTGTTCCTTTCATGGAGTATTGATTTGAGAAAAGTGATTTCTTCCTTTTGTAGTCCACAAATTTTCCCAGTAAACCTCTAAGTTTAATTCAATCATGACTCAAAAGTAATTCATAGAATCCGAGAATTTTAAAGCCCTGATTCTCATGGAAGTACATGCAAATTGGTTCTATTGGTATTTACATATTTGCATTTTCATTCTAACTCCTGAAGCCTTGAGTGAGGTGAAACCAGTGTTTTTAATCCTAAACATCAAGCAGATTTCATACTAGGAAATCATAGTCCCATTGAAGTAGGTGTGAAATGTTTGTACACTCATTTCATCAGGGCAAATAGCCCATTTTCCCAAATTAACCAAGATTTTTTTTGCCTAGAAATTTAATGACTATGGGACTGGAGAAAAATTTAGTTCAGTTTTAGGTATGCAAAATCAGTTAAACTTTCAGCAAGAAAAGAAATGTAAATCATAGGGGGTTTTTTTTCAGGTCAAGTTACTTGGTGGTGTTTTCCAGGTGATTAACTAGAAATAATTGGATTAACTGCCCAAATAGAGAAATTTTCTATTTAGGTTAACATTGACACACAATTAACTGGCCAGTGAAACTCTATGAACATTTCCCATTTCTAAAATATAGACAATCCTGGACACAATTCATGAATTCATCTAAATCTGATTTTTTTATGAGGCATTTGGGATGAGGGGACATTTTGCCTGTTGGACCCACTTTATTAATTATAGAACACAGGAAGACTGACTGAGACTGGTAAATTAAGCTAGGCCAAGTTTTCATATACTAGTTACAAAGTACTACAGATGTTTAGATATTGGCAAACACGAATACTGGACTTTACATCCATTAGCTGATGAGACTGTTGGAAACCACATATTTCCTAGTTTTTACTGAGAACATCAGTTCTATGCTAAAAAAAGAACCAGGTGTGCAGATACCTCAATAAAAAGAAAAATTGGTTAGGTTATCTGCTCCATCAAATGACCTCTTGACTCTGTTCTGGGAAGTTTTTATGCCACATAGTGGGTTTTCTTCCTCATGGTCTAAACCACAGGAATGCACCTCAGTTCAGATCCCCACCACCCGCCTCTGGAGAGGGAAGGATGTCTCTAGGGGCAAAGAGAGATCACAGAAAGGGCAGAAATCCTCCTAAGCTGTAAGAAATTACGTGTAGCGTGATGAGGCAGCGACAGAGGATTTCCCTTACAAATGGCAACTATCCAGGGCCCACCAGCTGAAGAGTCATTAAGATTTCGTTAAGTCACAGGAACCCAGCACCATGACTGTGTCCAGGCACAGATGTCCTGATTTCTGAATCACTAGGCCTTCCTTTTACTGGCTGTGCTAAATTAAAACAAGAACCGGATCAAACTCTTAAAATCCAACGTTCCTCCTCACATGGCGTTTGAAACCACACTGTGAGATGGCAAATAGTCTACATAGTTTATGGCTACTGGTGGCAATTACCAAGAGCAGCTCAAATGGGATTTATCAGCCCTCAGAAGAGTTTTCCAGGGGATGTGGCCAGTTTTATGTTCGTTGGAGTGAGGCCAAGGCCGAGATGTTTTTTTTGTTTGGGTGCACTCAAGGCTGACCGTAAGTTGTTACATGTAATGAGTGAATCTGATCCGGTTTTGTTGTGTGGAAAGGTCGAGTGGAAGACCAGAAAGACTCGATTTTGCCTCAGATTCTGCAAGTGAGAATGTTGCAGAAGGAGCACTCTGTGCCACCAAATTTCCTTGAGGGATCAGAGAATTGCTGTGTGGGTTAATCAGCGGAGAGATCATGAGTTAAGGAATGTTTCCTCAGGCACCACGAGCTGGAGACTGTAAAGGATTAGTTATTAGAAACATCTTGGGGTAAGAACCCTCAGTTTTCTCCTGTGTTTGTGTGGAATTTGGCCCAGGTTGTACTTAGACAAGACCAACCATTCTGGGGCAAATCAAGCCATCTTTGACCATGTCCCAGTCTTGGAGAAAGACAAAATGGTCCAAATGAAGTGACTCCTTCCCTTGTGTATCTTCCCAGTCTCCAGCAAGATGTAGGATAAGACCTTCAGCCCAAAGCAGCACGATGAGCCCTCACAGCTATTCCAATAGCCAGGAGAATATCAGAGCACAGACTCTGGCACCAAATGGC